GGTTCGTGCCCCGGTCCGGGAAGATCCCACATGCCGCGGAGCGGCTGGGCCCATGAGCCATGGCCGCTGAGCCTGCGCGTCCGGAGCCTGTGCTCCGCAACGGGAGAGACCATAACAGTGAGAGGCCTGCGTACTGCAAAAAAAAAAAAAAAAAATTACAAAGAAAAAGAAAAAAACAAAAAACCTTAATAATCATGTATTTCTGCTCACTGAATGGTAGGCACTGCTTCCTTTTGCTTGATATACATGAAAGCAAAGAGATGTTTTTGTTCTGAAGCTGGCTTTCTTGACAATATTAGCAAACTGTTCATAACAGAAGTAAAAATGTATGCAATAAATAACTAGAAGATTGTAAAGAATTGTTTAAAAGATTTAATGTAACAAGTAAAAGAGTATAAATCCGGAATTTCTTGATTTAGAATTAGGGTAGAGGGTTAACTATAGCTCCACAGTCGTTTGTTTTAAAGTATCACATATTAAGTATGTGACACTAATTCCTTCAAGTGGATATAATGTGTAACTTTATTAAATTCACACTAAATTATACTTTTAAGTTATCTTTGACCTAAAATAAGTTATTCTGTAGGTAAGTGAAATGCCAATAAAAATCTGAAAATAGGGCCTATATATTGCTATATAGTTGATTGTATTTGTTTAAGCCAGTTAAGCACCTGTAAAACAGGTACGTGTACCCATGTTTCATAGCTTTTGGGGGAGGGGGGGCTGTTAATGATTTAACATCAAGATACTATTAACCTCTTGCATTAAAATTAGTACAGGAAATTAGTGTGCCTAGGGCAAGGGCTCTTAACCTTTCTTCATGTTCCATGGATCTCTTTGGCAGCCTGGTTAAACCCCTTCTCAGACTAATGTTTTTTAGTAAGTAAAATAATATTAACACTGGATTTACAATATTGACAGTGCATTATAAGTGTCAATGAAGAAACTAATCAACAGTCTAAGAAAGAAATGGAAAATCTCATTCAAGTCAAACTGAGGATTATAACCCAGGAGACAGTTTCTCAGAGAGCTCTGAGAACGGTTCCAAAGAGTGAAGAGGGGAGGTCAGTATATATGTGATTCTGGGGAAGCCGGTACGTGCAATCAAGCACACACTTGGCAGAAGTTTGTTGCTAGTCACGAGGAACAGATATCTTAGTTAATGGGTTTTTTTTTTAATGTTTTTCTAAGTATGGGAAGATGTAAGAATCCAGGTTCATAAAATTTTTTCTTCTGAACATATCTAACTCTCTGAAGGCCAGTTCTGTCAGTTTTCCCAGAGCACAGAGTGCCTTATCCTATCTTCACCCTTAATTCCTTTTAGGGTGTATTGTAGGTCAGGGACTGCAGTGGCTAACAAAATGATTCTTGTAGAACTGGATGGTGGGCAACATTCTTTGTTTTCCAATCCCTTCCCTTACAGTCTTTATTTCAGCCAAGGTCTGGGAGGCATTTCGTGACCAGTTTGTCCCAAGGTGCTAGGAATGCTTATCCTCAGGTTAGGCAAGGATTTCCTTGGTAGGCCACTCAGTGTGTTGTTACTAAACTAGGCCCTGTTAACCATAGGCGAAAGCTTCTGCACCACCTGTTTTATTAGTCTGTTATGGTCCAGGACATGGTCCCCTCTTGTTGCTTCTTCCCATATCTACAGTTACATTATTACAATCATTGATCTTATGGAACTGTATATTTGGCCAATCATTTCAAGTCACATAATCATCATTAACTTTATCTGAGGCTCATCACACATTTGGTAATGCAAGAAACAATAATCTTGTAAAAGAGGCAGAATATTTACTAACATAGCCAGTGACATTAATAGGTCTTACGTAAGTATTTAAGCTAAGAACTTCCATTAGGTGCAGCCCAGGATCTCCCCAGGTCCTCTGACCAGTCTGTTCTGCACCAATCCCTATCTTTAAGGGAAATGATATATTGGCATTGTACATAAAGTTCATTAAAGATGTCTGCCCATACAAGGCCAGTGGTGAGTCATCGTGACCTCTTACAGGATTGAGAAAGGAATGATATCTTCTAAGGAGTTACAACATGGCTGGTGCCAGAAGGAGAAAAATTGATCTTTATGTTGAGCAGGTATTTCTGCCACCGGAGAGGTCTCGTTAACACATAATGCAGATGCACAGTGCACACTAGAGGGGAGAGAGGAAGCCCAGATGGAGAGAGAAAATATTTACGTTTAAATTTTTCTTGTCTTGCCTTAAAATATGAATTTTTATTTCATCATAAGTGAGAAAGTAAAATTAGCTCGGACTGTAAAAATCTGCCCTGCCATCCAGGAGCCTGGAATAAAAGGCTGATAAAATCAGTTGCAAAATTAACATAAAACAATATTTCTCCCCAAACAGAGCTGTAAAGTGTCATAACCACCTCCTGCTTTCTGACTCACTGAGAAAATTTGTTCTCTAAAGTTAAAGACTTAGAGAGTTTTTGCTGTTGGAAATTACATCAGTAAGAATGAAATATCTCACCTTTACCTGGAGATTCTCAGCCCCTTGACACAGATAAGCAGCTTCAATTTACAACCTTTACAACCCAGGTGCAGAGCTCGCAATAAGGGGTTTCTAGACACAAAAATTCCATCTGTATTTAAACTTCATAGTATCCAAGGAAATAGGACCCCAGGTCCACTTTGTCATCTAAGCTGCACATTGATTCTGTGTGTTGACACACAGCCTTGCTTTGAGCCTACCAAAATACTGCTCACTTAAATTTCACTTAAACTCCACCCTACCTCAGAATCCTATAACTCTGTATTTTCCTTTGCTTGGGGAGATGCCACGCAGTTCCTCTGTGCGCAACCTCCCACGATGCAATGGTTAATAAGCCTGATTTTAATAGACTACAGTATTGTTCCACTATTGTGGTCTTAGGCTAATTGGAAAAGCCTGCAAAATAAACCAATTGGATTAAAATTCAGTCTATTTGTTGGGTCCTCAAAGTTTAAAAACGTCGGACTAGAGAGAAGTAGCAAGTATGATGAGGGATCAGGCAACAATAGTCTGGAAGCATTCTTAGCCTGGGGTGCTAGGGTCATAGCCAAGAAGAACAGAAGGCAGACCAGAGCAGAGCAGATGGGAGCTACCGAGAGACTGAGTCAGGGCTAATATGAGGAAACGCTTTGTTAACCATTAGAGCTCCTTGCACACAGAGTGGAGAGACTGCACACCCAAGAGGGGAGATCCCCACCACTAACCAAGGTAGATCTGAAGCTTGGTTTTGTAGCTCTGGGAAATCCTGAGGATAGAAAGTTCCACTGTGGCCCTCTAGCGTCTGGTCTCCTCATTTGTAAAATCTATACTGTTTCTTCCGAGAACTGCTTCTTTTAGCTTTAAGCCATGCTCAAGTGCGGGCCCACTCAGAATCCTACAGATGCCCTTCAGATCAAGCAGTACCCGTCTGCTGTCACCGCTAGGATGAGTTTCCCTCTCATCTTGGGTGGGTCTTTGGTTTGGTGATTTTGAACTGGGTGGTGGTATACGGAGGAGGGCTAGGGTTGGAGCCATCTAAATGCTTAGGTAAGTGAGGGTTAAAATGAAGCCCTGCCTGAACCTCCCCAGAATCCCCAACCTGCTGTAGCAAGTAGGCAAAGGCGTGTGTGCGTAGAGGGGAACAATTCCCATCGACCCTCAGAAGGCCTGGCAGGCGTGGGGAAGCCAATGACGCTCCCACCTCTCACCATGCCCTCACCCCCGACCCCCCGCCCACCGGGTCACAACAGTCCCCTCTGGCCACTGCAGTCACCCTGCTCATTCCAACATACTTACAAATACTATGCTGGTTCACTCATGTTGTGGGTGACGTGAAAGCGTTGGAAAGCCCTGGTCTGAGTCCTGCAGGCCGCCCTCTTGTGAAACGAGTGACTGTAAGTGACCATAAGTGACTATAAATGATTATGTGTCTTTAATACACTATTTATTTATTTATTTTTGGCCGCATTGGGTCTTCGTTTCTGTGCGCGGGCTTTGTCTAGTTGCTGTGAGTGGGGGCTTCTCTTCCTTGCAGTGCTCGGGCTTCTAATTGCGGTGGCTTCTCTTGTTGTGGAGCACGGGCTCTAGGCGCGCGGGCTTCAGTAGTTGTGACACGCGGGCTCAGTACTTGTGGCTCGCGGGTTCTAGAGCGCAGGCTCAGTAGTTGTGGCCCACGGGCTTAGCTGCTCTGCAGCATGTGGGATCTTCCCGGACCAGGGCTCGAACCCTTGTTCCCTGCATTGGCAGGCGGATTCTTAACCGCTGCGCCACCAGGGAAGTCCATAATGCACTATTTATAGACATACGTCAACCTCTGTCTATGAGAGCAGGACAGGCCATGAGTGCATCAGAAGCAGGGCAGCTGATCCCATTTTTTTCTTCAGGTGGTTGAAGGGTCAAAGAAGACAGAGTAATGCAGAATCTCCTTCGCAACTGAAGCGGTAGATCCAACAAGGATGAACATTGACGGGGGGAGGTGGGTGGATGTGAGCTCCTTGTTAGTGTGGCCACTGTCTCACCGGCTTAGTCAGGTGAGGGCCAGTCACTCCCCCATCATTGTCTTCCTCAGTGCACTCACCTCCCCCATATATTCTCCTTCACTCAAGTGTCTGTCGTCTCCTAGTCTGGGCCCTGAGGGATGAGGTAAGAGTTCGGTGCTAGAGAATCCAAAAGAGACCAAAGCTGGACTTTCTGTTTGCTTGCTTGTGGTGACTGTAGTTGGGGGGACGTCAGCAGAAGCTCCAAAGAAGCGGTGACCTTTAAACTGAGACGTGAGGCCGAAAGAACTCGGCATTAAGAGTCAGAGAAAAAGAAGGCCCACGGCCTGTTTGGGCTGCTCGGGGGAACTGGACCAAAGCGCCTTCCGGGTCGGCCAAGTCCAGAAGCCGCCCGCGCTCGGGACGGGCGCGCCGGGCGCGCCGGACGCGCCGGACGCGCCGGACAGGGGGCGGAGCCGCCGTCGAGGGCGTGGCTCTGCGCATGCTCTGCTCGCCGGCCCTCCGCCGTCGCGGGGCGCGGGAGGCGCCGCAAGCAGCGGGAAACGCTTCATGGCGCAGGCGGGGAGAGCTGGTCTGGGGGCCTGGGGGCGGCGGTGCGCGGGCGGGGATGTGGCTCCGGTCTGCGCGCCTTGGCGCTGGGCCTCAGCGCTGCTCTGGCTGGCGGCGGCGGCAGCGGCGGCGGCGAGCGGCCCCTCCCGGCGCCAGTGGCCGGTGCCTTACAAGTGAGTGCGCTGGCGCGGAGGGGAGGGCGCTCGCGCGCGCGTCCGAAGTTCGCGGGTCAAAGGCGGGGGGGCGGGGAGGGGATTGTGTCCCGGTCGCGCGGTTGTGCGGGGGCGGCGCTCGGCGACCCTGAGGGCGCGGCGTTGAATGAAGTAAGAGAGCTGTTGAGTCGCGGCTGTTTGCTGTGCGCCGCCCTGGGGTCACCTCCTCCCGGGACCCTTGAGCCAGTTACGAGGTGACCTAGACTCAGGGCTGCCCCGAATCGTGGATGAAAAGGGAGTAATGTTATTTCGTCGCGTGCCTGTCGGATACAAGTCGCTGACACTTTTAATGGTTTGGGGAGACCTTTAATATCGCATTTATTACCGTGCCATGCCCTGTCATTTATTTATCTTGAGTGCATACATTTGCACGTCAAGTGTCCAGTTTACCCAGCTTGCCTGGGTTTGCCTGGGACTTCCCGTTATTTAGCACTAGAAGTCCGGCGACCCGGGAATCCGCTCGGCCCCTTGGTTGGCGACCTCGTTTGTCCACTGTCTTCAGCCTGGAGGTAGGACGCTGGTCATAAGCTGAGGACACGGAGACTGCAGATATGCGAAGCATATTTGAGCCTTTGAACTAGAACAGTATTTACATGGCCTAATTGTCAGAGATGGCTAAGCAGAGAGAAAGAAAGAAACCATGGTGTCAACATCAGGCAGGGGAAGGGCCAGCAGCTTTTGAAAATGCACAACTATTCTGGATGACGAAATAGTGAGTTGGGAGACAGGATAACCTAGGGGTCGCGAGTGAGTTCTGGGCTCCCACCACTGCGGATCAAGTCAGGCTCCACCATCACTAGCTGTGTGATCTTGGGAAAGTTGCTCAGTATCTCAGTGTCCACATGTCCTGAGTCAAAAATTAGGAACAGTAGTTACTTCAGGTTTGTTGGGGGGATTAAATCTAGTAAATGCTAGTCAGCTATTTTCAAACCTGAATACAGTATTGGTGTATTCTGCTCACTAAATGGCTCGCAGTACTTCCTTGTTTTGCTTGATATACATGAAAAGAGAAATTTGAGTTTGAAGCTGGTTTTCTGGAAAGTGTTAATAAAATGTTCAAAAGAAGTAAAAATTTAATATTCAATAAAACGAGGAAGAGATTGGAAATCCAAAACTACTTGATTTAAGGACAAGATATTGACCATGACTTCTTATGTTTCTTTAAAAGTTTGAAGTGTTAAGTACATGCCTTCATCTAATCCCCATCATAAAATTTTAACTTTATTAAGTTCACACTTAAATCATACTTTTGAAATTACCTTTGACCTAAAATAGATTTTGCTGTGGGTAAGTGAAACCTATATGTAGTTGCCCATTTGCTTAAACCAGGTAAGCACCTATAAAACAGTTAAGTATATCCAAGACTCATAAGCTTTTAGGAGGGGGTTGTCAATATTTTTGTCTAAATAAAGATTTTTTTTTTGGCTGTACCGCAGGGCTTGCGGGAACTTAGTTCCCTGACCAGGGATTGAACCCAGGCCAAGGCAGTGCAAGCACCGAATCCTAACCACTAGACCACCAGGGAACTCCCTAAATCAAGATTTTAACTCTTTAAATTAGAATAGACATTTTTGTTGATGCGTTAGGATTGTAAAACAATAGATTGGGCTAGAACCTGAGGGAATCTAGGATTTTTAGAGGATAGATAGAGGCAGCTACTTTCTCTTTCATCTTTCTCTCCAGTGAAAGGTGTGTAGTGAGTGTCTGCTGATCTGAAATCACCACAGTCCCTCCTCCCCAGTCCTACTGCCGTGGCCTTCTCAGGCTGCTTCCTTGCTTGTTGTATTATTGCTGTGACCTCCTCACTGCCCTCTCAGCCTTAATTTGGCCTTTCTCCCCACCCTTTTCTAATTCATAAAGTGAGGCTTATTTAGAGCAAATTCAGTTATATCACATCTGCTACTTCAGATCCTTTAACTGATCTCCCTCCCAGGCTCAGCCCTCCCCAGCTGTGGCACTCTAGAGGGTGCCCTTCACATTGTCCAGACATACCTCTCGTTTTATTGCACTACTCAGATACTGCATTTTTTACCAACTGAAGATTTGTGGCAACCTTGTGTGGTCCGATGGTAGTTAGCATTTTTTAGCAGTAAAGTATTTTTTAATTGAGGTACATACAATATGTTGGGGGTTTTAAGACATAATACTATTGCACGCTGAATAGACCACGGTATGATGTAAACATAACTTTTATATGCACTGGGAAACTAAAAAGCTCGGATGACTCCCTTCCCTTTACAGCGTCATCCGACGTATTGTGGTGGTCTGGAAGCGACCCACGCTGTCTCCGAGGTGCACCTGAATTAGGGCGAAGTGACAGTCCCTGCCTCCCTCTCCTCTCACCGCTGCTGCCTTGAAGCCTGAACTCCAGTCTTCCTTACCCACTTGAGACTCTTCCAGCGTGTCATGCTTGTCTTAGAGTATTTAGTGTTTTGTTTCCTTTTCCGTACTGACTTCCTAAAGTATTTTAAAAACCTAGGCTAGGCCTTCATCTCTTCCTTTGCCTCCTTACCCCCAGGCATCCCGCAGCAGGTAAAAATGATTTCTCCCTCTTTTGCACCCTCAGGCCTTTGTGTATTTCTTTGTAAGCATTCACCATGCTGCGCTTCATCACTTGTTTAATGTCTTACCAGCCCTCACCCAGAGCTCCTTGAGGGGAGGAACAGCATTTTAACTTTTGTTTCCCTCCTTTCTAGTATAGTCGTAGATCCTCAATAATATTGGTTGAAGGGGATGTCGGCTAATCCTCAAGAAAATAGAAAATGCGTTCTATTTAATTATGATTATCTTTGAATAATCAACATATGGATTGTTTGGGAAGTTCAATATCATTTGAAAGCTATTCCTTTATTCAGTAAATATCTGTCTACTAAATAAGGTGTGGAGCTATAAACATTTTCACGTGTGGTCCCTGTCTTCAGAATTCTCACAATGGGAGCAGGGAACCAGGAAGCATGCAATTATCAGTGCTTTCAATGTATCATTTGCTATTAAAGACATCATTGGAGTTTGTTCACAGGATAACATATAAAATGTGTATTTATACACTATGGCTGAGCTTTGGGTGTTTTTTCTAAAAATGTGATTGACAGTGAAATTAAAATCTGGATTCTACGATGTGCGAGAACCAAATTCCTATTAGAATCTAAGTTGATGATTTTTTTTTGTTAGACGCTTTTCCTTCCGTCCAGAACCAGATCCTTACTGTCAAGCTAAATACACTTTCTGTCCCACTGGCTCCCCTGTCCCAGTGATGAAGGATGATGATGTCATTGAAGTCTTTCGTTTACAAGCCCCAGTGTGGGAATTTAAATATGGAGACCTCCTGGGACACTTGGTAAGGCTGCATCTTGATCTTGTAGCTGGTTAATTAAGTGATTTGATTAAGTGGATTTGAGGGAATAATCTCTATTCAGTCACTAGTTTTAGATTATGTTTATTGGTGTTCCTCTTAGCGAATTTTAAATAAGTAGTCCAAAAAAATAATCAAGTTTTATGATCCTGACAATAATCAGTGCAATTGCTTTAATCCATTTTAATATTATGGATCCAAACGCAATTTCTGTACCCAGATCCTGGAAAGAAAGAAAGGAGGAGGCCCCGAGCAAGGGGCAAGGCAGGTGGGAATCACTTCTTCACATCCAGTTCCTGTTGTGCACACTTTTCCTAGGTTAGCTCACCATTTGAGCCTCTCATCACCTGAGAGGTACACAGACTTCCTTCCTGTGTCTGGGGCACGGAGGCTGCTCAACGTGAGAATAGCAACAGGGAAGGGGAATAACTGGTCTGCTCTATATGCAGCTGTGGTATCGCACTTTCTCCCATCTGGCTCCTGAACCAGCGGTTACGTCACAGATGCTTTGATACATGTATGATCTTTACACAGAAAATTATGCACGACGCCATTGGATTCAGGAGTACTTTAACTGAAAAGAACTACACAATGGAATGGTATGAACTTTTCCAGCTTGGAAACTGCACATTTCCCCATCTCCGACCTGAAATGAATGCCCCTTTCTGGTGTAATCAAGGAGCTGCCTGCTTTTTTGAAGGAATTGATGATATTCACTGGAAGGAAAACGGGACGTTAGTTCTGGTAGCAACCATGTCAGGTAAGTTTCAAAACTATGGCAGCATTTGATGATTGCATCAATATCCAAAAATGACAGAAATTACTTTCATTGAGGCCTCTCAGTAACGGTCTGCTCTTCAGAGGTCAACTTATAAAATACACTTCTGGAATCACTAACCTTTGATCCAAACTATTACTCATGCAAAACTTCACCTTATTTACAGATTATCTTTTCTATTTTCACAATAAAAATAAATGATATAAAGCTGTACAATTAAATTGGACTTTCTAAATAAAATAATAGAGGTAAATCTCTATTTTAGAGGTGACCACCAGTTTGTTCTCTGTATCCGGGGGTCTGTTTCTGTTTTCTTTTGTTTGTTCATTTGTTTTATTTTTTAGATTCTACATACCATATGAAATCATATGGTAATTTGCCTTTCTCTGTCTGACTTACTAAACGTAATATCCTCTAGGTCCATCCATGTTGTCACAAATGGCAAGATTTCATTCTTTTTTATGGCTGAATAATATTCCATTGTATGTACATGCCACATTTTCCTTATTCATTCATCCCTCGATGGAAACTTGGGTCATTTCCATGTCTTGGCTATTGTAAATAATGCTGCAGGAAACTTAGGGGTGCTTATAACTTTTCAAGTTAAGTGTTTTTTCTTCCTTTGGATAAATGCCCAGGAGTGGAATTGCTGGATCATATGATAGTTCTATGTTTAATTTTTTGAGGAACCTCCATACTGTTCTCCATAGTGGCTGCACCAATTTACATTCCCATCAATAGTGCACGAGGGTTCCCTTTTCTCCACACCCTCACCAACACTTGTCTTTTTGATGATGGCCATTCTGACAGGTGTGAGGTAATATCTCATTGTGGTTTTGATTTGCAGAATTGGTGTCTTTTAAATGTAATCTGGGAATCTTTTAACTATTTATCATGCTGTTTTCTATATTTCTTCCTATTTTCTAATTGATGTGCCCCAAACCATCCAACAATATAAAAGTCCATTCTCTTTTAGCAATGCTCATTGTGGTAAATAGCTATCCTTCTTTCATTCCAGGCCAGTTCACATCTCTCCTTTCTCCATTTCCACCTACCTCATTATCTACAAAATCTTCCTTCTGACATCAAAGTATGATCATATGAACAAGTGATCACTATTTTCTGTAGAAGAGTTTGCAATATGCTGGTACTTAAGTCTTTTAAGTTATCCATCTGCCTTGTGATTAATCCTGTTCATTGACCTTTTTTCACATTACAGAATAGGGTTTTGAAGCATTCTTATCTCTTCATTACAAGCAGTGGCTTTTCAAAGTTGAAGAACACTATGAACAGTATCTCCAGCTCTAAGAAAACAGGATTTATATTATTTCACCATTTTAATACCATAAAATTGATAAAAGCAGCTACTCTGTTCATTCTGTAGGGCTTTAAATATTGATTTTATGGACTCAAGCTGGAGTAACCTAAGAAAGATTCACACACAGTGACAAAGTGAAATGTTGGGGCCATGCTGTTTTAGGCCCAGATGTGGTTGCAACCATGCAGAGTATTTTGTTAACATTTGGAGAGATCCCTCTGGTCTGGTACAAGGTGGTAAGAGAGAGTGTTAGCCATCCCGGAGTCTGTATAATCCATGAACTTGGTCAAAAACATTTCCAGTTTAGTTGATTCACTGGAAGAATTTGTGTAGTGGGTAGAAAGGTTGTAAGCAGTAGCCACAAGTACAGGGAACAAAGGGAGATACCAGATATTCAGGGTGAATGGGGCACGGTGCTTCCTTCTCAAGAAGCTGTTCCTCAGGCAGCCATTCATACCTTGCTTTGCACAGAAAAGCTTCGTGTTTCACCTTCCTCAGTTCTTCTTACACTATCTTTGCCTCATTCACTTTTTCCTCTTCCACAATTTTTCCCTTGCTTCTTTTTTCTCTTTTGCCTCTGAATCCAAGATTTGTTGAGTGGAGTAGAGAAAGAGGGCTTTCGCACATGTACAATTTAGCTTTTGACTGTAGCTTAAATGATTATAGAATTCGTATGTAAGACTCCTCTTTATACACCTATTATATCTAATGTTTAGTTCAGAAATACCTTGTGCCTTGAAAAATGGAACAGTAATTGGCTGAGCTTGGATTCCTTTTGTGAGATGCAGGTTTGGAAATTCAAAAACTGTTGTTTAATCATGTAGTCATGGCCTTGATCTGGTTAGAGCATTTTACTTAAAACTAACATGATTAGCTTTGATGTTCACATAGTGTTGTTGTTTTTTTGTTTGTTTTTAACTAGGAGACATATTTAACAAAATGGCAAAGTGGGTAAAACAGGACAATGAAACAGGGATTTATTATGAGACATGGACTGTCCAAGCCAGCCCAGAAAAAGGGGCAGAGACATGGTTTGAATCCTACGACTGTTCCAAATTTGTGTTAAGGACATATAAGAAGTTGGCTGAACTTGGAGCAGACTTCAAGAAGATAGAAACCAACTATACAAGAATATTTCTTTACAGTGGAGAACCTACTTACTTGGGAAATGAAACATCTGTTTTTGGGCCAACAGGAGACAAGACTCTTGCTTTAGCCATAAAAAGATTTTATTGTCCTTTCAAACCACATTTGTCAACTAAAGAGTTTCTTTTGAGTCTCTTGCAAATTTTTGATGCTGTGATTATACACAGACAGTTCTATTTGTTTTATAATTTTGAATATTGGTTTTTACCTATGAAATTCCCTTTTATTAAAATAACATATGAAGAAATCCCTTTACCTAACAGAAACAGAACACTCCCTGGTTTATAAAACCTTAATTCTACTGCTTTTTTTTTCTACTAGCACATCAGTTTTTCAGGGAGTGGTTTTACATGTGTGGATTTCTTAGGCCTTTCTTCCTTGGGACAGAAAGGTAAAAGACACATGGGCAGAATTGCTGCATAATATCTCGGGAATTTTTTTGGAAAGAAGCTGAAAACTCTTATTGTGTTGGCCAAAGTGAACCCATTAGGTGATCTTGATTTCAATCTCCAAGGCTTTGTTAATATGGAGAATTATATCATATCATCAGATATACAGGATCTTTGGACTCAGAATGTGAAATTGTGGATATGGTGTGCCAAAACTAAAAATACTGTCAGTGACATTGTCATGGTGGGAGCTACTTTTTGCAGATATGGTAATTACACTTTCTCATTTAGGTACTCTCTGGTAGTTTTGACTGACTTTACAGCCTTTGTAACTTCTAGAGCCAGTCCTAGTAGTTTGATTTTGTTCTATTCACTTAACCTTAAAGAGTAATTTGGACACCACAGCTGGAGTGGTCATGCTTCCAGATGTGGTAAAATCAGTGATAAAGAGCACAAGTTTCTGGCTGGCATTTTAGAACTAGCCAGTGACTGGTATTTTGTGATTTAAGCAACTTATCATTTCCAAACCTTAGTTTCCTTATCTCAAAAATGATTCATCTGTCACGATTGTTGTAAAGACTGAAGCCATGTATAGTTTGGCCTAGTAAGGTCACAGTAAGTGGTAACTATGACGATTAATCAGAGAACAAACTGCCATCATTGATCTTGCCTAATGTGGTTTGCATGCCAGCCTTTCCTGGCTTTGTAATAATCACCCAGACTCTGAGCGGGCAGCATAGTGCTTCTGCGGTTCTTCACACATATGGAACATGGAAGTATCTGACTGCAGGTACATCTGGGTGAACGGGCACCCTTTAACTAACTCCTTCACTGCTTCACACAGTCCCTCCGCCGCCCACTAAAGCTGCCAGCAGTGGAAGAAGGTACACTTCCCAGAGAGAGGGCAGGTTTTTGTCAAGGATCGCCAAGTAGCTGTGCTTCCATTAGGGCCATCAAACAAGGTCTCAACGTCCTTTAAGTGTCTGATAACTGAACACCTTGTTTCTATTCATGGAAAAAATACCTACCAGTCAGGAAAATGATGAGGCAGAGATCAGAGAAAACAGTCTGTATTTAATATGTAAATGTACCAATTCTATTCAGTTTCTGCCCACATTTGAGTGCTTCCTAAGAGGTTAGTACATTGAGTTCTCATAAAAAGCCTAAGCGTAGGTACTCTTTACGTGACTCAAATGAGGAAATTGAGACTTAGAAAGGTTATGTGACCTTTCCACAGCTACCCACCTAGTGGTAATGGAGCCTCATTTTGAACCAGGTTCTGCTGACTGAATGGGATGCACCATCAAGCAGGTTTTTCAGCGCTGCTCAAGTGTGGTCCTCAGACCAGTGCCTGGACCATAAGTTACTAACAAACACCGTATGTTCTGGTCTGTGAGGAGGAACTCTTAAAGCAACTTGTTTGACTAATTTTGTTTCTGTTGAATCCAATAAAAAAAAAAAACAAAAAAACGGGGGCTTGTACTTTTGCTTTTATTTCGTCTAGGAATTTATCATTGTCTTCAAAACTACAGGCACTAAAACGCAGTCTAAAAATAAAAACCCAGCCCTTCAGCACAGATAGCATAAGAAGCACTGCATCATTATGATGCCTGCTGCACAGAGGATGTCTCACGCTCGAGCACAGGGAGAAGTGGCTTTCACTGCCTACAGTTTTGCCTTGTCTACTCATGTTAATAGCGCCAAACATTCCTGATTACTTTAACCTCTTTAACCTGCTAGTTGTCTTCAGAATATGTCACAAGAAAACTTGGATCTTTGCACTGGCACCATCTAGCGGCTAAAATCGGGCAATGTCAGCCTCTGGATTCAGGAAAATTGCTCTGGAAAAAGTGTTTTGGATTTCCAGAACTACATTGGGGTAACAAGCAGAAACTCCTATGCCAAGTTTGTATTAACTGTAAATCACAGAACTTGGTTCCATGGCAACAACAAATGAGGACATCCGTACATGGAACTTGAATATTAAAGCAAGAATCTACTAGTTACATTAAAAAGCGTTCATGATTTTCCACTGTTGCTAAGAATACTGATGTGAAGAAATTCTGAGAATTTGACATATAGACTCAGGATACTATAACAGTGTGTAGCATTCATATAAGTACTTCTTAAGAATTTATCAAACCTATCTATACTTACAAGTTGAAGTAGGGCTTTGAAGCAGAGATGATTCAGGAAAAAGCTTTTAAAATGGTAGCTGGAAAACCAAAACACAAGCTAGGCAGGAATCTGCCAATTAAATTTTGCTGTCCTTTGAACTTCTGTATAACTAACTTAAATGTGATTTCTGTTTTTCTTGTTAAGTTGTAAATGTATAAAATTTCCTCTACAAGAAACCATTAGTTGAAGTCTAAGTTATATTAGGGCTTTAGAATAATCTTATTAATAAGTTATTAATTCTGGCTCCATATTAGGTAAGTATACCCACAGTGTGTCATCAGTTGTAGGTACAGGAAAATAGGCAAAAGGTGAAAATAACTCAAACTGTATAAATATTTGGAACCCTCACTCAATATTGGCTCCTTATTAGAAATCAGAAAAATAAAATAAAAAATCTTAAGAAGTCTCATCCAGTTTTATAATCTGCTCTGGTGGCACTTAACGAATTCCCTAGGACTGTATTTCCTTTAAGATGACTTTTTTTTTTTAAAGAAATTGTTGGTATGTTACAAAAACAGCAACGTTCCCAAACCCCACACACGCTTTTCCCCTCACAGCAAATGAGTTGGCCAAAGTTTGTTTCCAGCATCTTCCTCGTATTTACCCTTTATTATCCAAATAGCATCCTGCTTCTTAAACCTTCTACATTTTCTTTCCCCTATTTAAAACAAGACAGCATGGTAATCATATATTCTTTTACTGGACTGATTATTCTAAGGATAAGCTCTTAATTCACTTTGGAGTAAAAGGCTTTGTGTTCTTTTTTATATATCATATGATATGTCCTTTTTTTTTTAAAGGAAAATTGGGTATCAGCAAGTAGGTAAAATTTTTCTGGCTGCTTGGTAACATTTAAAAACCAGCCCCACAGATAAACTGAGCTGGAATCTGTGCAAAGATTGTGCCCAGCTGTGTATGGGGTAGAGATTACTTTACAGCTTATTAAAGGACCTAGTTCAGGCCTGAGCCTTCTTCATACCAACCCTTGCCTTCTATCCTAAGCTTTTCCATAAATATAAAGAATTCTCCTTTGATTGCAGTAAATTGACTTAATCTTTAGTCATGCCTTTTTACTGATAATATTGTTAATAAAATAGCCCAGTTTAAGATTACCAAGGTAAACTGAAGTTACTTTATGGAAACTGGAGATGAAAATAATTTCAATAGTTTAAAAACTATTCTGATTGTATGGATTTATATAAAGGTCTTTCTCTCTAAAAATGCTAGCCGGGTTCAAGGATCCTGACTAAGAATTCTATTCCTAAACAATCTGTTTTTTAAATTCTTATTCTAAATGCCTAATCTTGTATCTCAGAAAAGCCACTCTACCATAAATATTTAATATTAAACATTACATCCATCAGATATGGATTTGAAACTAAAACTATAAATCTGTAAGTTTAACTTGCTTTAAAATCAAATAAGTACATCTGTTAGGGTAGTTTTAAAAAATAATACAACAGCATTAATAACTATCTTTATTCTAAAATTGATAAAAGCATTTAACATATACTTTACAGTATAAACAAGTGCTATGCATTTTGCTTAAGAAGTGACTTAAAGTTTTTCAAGCATTATATAATTCAATTTGTACAGAAAGTAAATTTCCAAATAAAGCTTTGGTTAGTAGAACTGATTACATACTGTCAAATCCATTTTCCAAAGCTGTTCAAAGAAAAAAGCTTCATCCACTAACACAGGTATTTCTTGTACAAAGTTTTTCACTGTTTAGTAAGAGGGAGGAATATTACAACAATTGCTTTTGATTTCCATGTCTGGACCAGCCTTTTTTCTTCTCATTTATATGCGCTCAGAATACCATCACTTTTGAAAGCATAAATTATGCAGAAAATCACCTTTTTACTTGATTCTTAGGAAGGTAATCTATTTTAAAAATAGATCCGTAAGACTGTTAGCTTCCATATCTACCAAGATGCTTTCTAAGTTTCAAGCACTAATACATCCCACTGGGGGTAAATCACTTCTAATTTCCCTTAGGAGGGTAATATCTACTAGCACTAGTGCTCAGAATCAAGTTTATAATAATATCTAAAAAAAACTAAATATAGCCCCAAACAATATTTTTACAGTTTCTACAATGTATGGATTACTTTTATTCATATGAAAGTAATAAAAATGCTGCCTAACTTAAGTAATATAAAATATCAGTTTAACCAAATTAACTATCACAAAACTGCAGACATTTTTCTATTAAAATTTTCCAGTCCACTGAGCAATATTTACTCAAAAATATGATTATGAACTTAAATATATGCTCTTTTAAATTTACTGTTTATGCTGAACTGTACATTGGTGCTTTTATGATTTTTGAAAATTCTACTTACATAACTATATAATTCCAAAATGTAAAAATAAGCCATCACTAAAATTCACTGGAGATGAATATTCTTTCATGGGAACAATTTATAAACATTTTAAAGTTCTACCTTTAATTATTTCAATTTGGCTTTTTAAAATAGATAAACTTCTCATTTCAATTATTGTGTAATACTTCAAAACTAAGTTTAAACAAAGATAAACCCAAGAAGAACTAGTAAAAGCATTCCTTACTTTACATATATGCCCCAAGTGCCACATACATAGTAATGTATCACAGAAAAGAATTTATATAGTTTAGTAGATTACAGAGCAATCCTAAAAGTTTATACAAAGCTAAACACTGCCTCCCTTTTATTCCACTCATTTTCTTTTAATTTGATCTTGGCTCTATTTATTATTATCTTTCTACAATAACCACTGTGTGACATTTATCAGTTTTTCTAAGTGTTCCAATTAATTGTATATACTTCTTTCAACAGCTTTGTAACATTTTAGAACATTCAACCAAACTTTTTCATTAGATACAATATATCCTACATTTTTCTCACAAAATGCTCACTTTCCTGAGCTATATTAAACACCTTATAACAGGTGTATGTATAACTGAAGACCCTACAATGTCAAGTTTACATTTTTAAAAAATGCATAGAGAACATAACATTTTGGAAAACCTATTAGTACCCACTTATCAGATATTACAATATATATGTTTTGTTTCCTTCAGACTGTAAAATGTTTAATCTTTACTACTTTCAGATCTGAATCACTTTTCTAATTTTTTGAGATTTAACTGCTATTAGGCTAAAGAAATAGATGAAGTTTTCTGACCAAAACTGGTCCATGAGTCTTCCAAAAAACAATCCTAATATACTCAATGAAGATATCAAATTTCTGTGCCACAAAATAGTAGAATTATATCAGACCTACAGGAAATAAACTTTTATTATAATACAATATGCTTAAAATTAAGGTGCTATTATTCATCATGCCCTATGTCATCTGGTCTTTACCAAGTGGGCATCATGTCTGGAAACCACACTCTACCAAGATGCTTAGACACTTCCCAGTGAATCTGCTCCAAACTATACTTTTGGTCAGGAATTAATACTTCTTCCATAATGGATAATTGAGACAGGCGGCCACCACACATCTTCACAAACTCAACAAAGGCACTGCATGAGACTTCGCATTCCCCTAGTCCAATAGCCGACAGATTTTTGCAACGTTCTGCAATGCGAATTAACTCTTCATCAAGTGGCCGTAATCCATTAGCACACACTACTAGCTCAACTAGTCTAGGACATGTCATTCCCACACGGCCAAGCACATCTTTGCTTACTGATCTCCCAAAGTAAAGATGGGTGGCAGGTATTTCATACCGAAAGAACGGATCAAATTCCTCTTCATATAAAAAAAAATACATTACTAAGTTCACTTTGGGTGAATGTCTGATGAAAGCATCCCAGCTGCTCTTCTGAATAGCATGGAAGTGTGTCTGTCCAGGATTCTCACTGACCACGTCAATGCGCAAATGTTCTAATCGAACGTGTTTTTCAGAAGATAGAGCAAGCAGCAACTCATCGCTTAGCAAGTGGTAATTCAGGGCCAGTTCACGTAAGCCATGACACCGATCTGCCACACAAAGGACACCTTGGAAGAAAGAAGACCCAATTACTTATAAAGTTTTCTACGAGTCCACCATCTCCAAGAATTTGACCAAGTACATGGCCTACAATAAAGTTTTACCACGTTTCATTACCACAGAGCTATACAATTTAAAATCTAGTTGTACTGACTGAACCAGCAGGAAGTCACACACATTTAAAAATCTATTACCAATTCTGTCCGTAAGAAAATGAGACCAGTTCTAAATCTGATATCTTAAAAGAAATGAAGCTCACTTACCAACTCAGAAAAATCTTGAATTATTCACTATCATCTAAAAATATACCATGACTAAATAAGACTTATCCCAGTAATGCACAGTGTCATATTTTTTTAAAAAACTGATGACTAACACTAAGTTTATAGGTTAAGCAAGAAAAATCACATGATCATTGTGACAGGCTAAAAGACATTTTTTTGAAATTCAAAATCTTAATGAAAAAATAAGGTAAAACCAGATAAAATGAGATTTATGTAACTAAATAAGACATTTGAAAAATTTTTAAAAAAGACTTCCATCAAATGAACAAAAAGTTTAACTGAACTGCTAATAATAATGTAACAAGCCTGTCAAATTTCTAAGAAAAAAATACCGAGATATCAACTAGATAGATGAATCAAAAGATAACTGCTCAATTCACATTAATGGAAATATACATTATGACTTTTAAAGCTCTAACATTCTCAGAAAGCAATTCCTTATATGGTTCCTTATACTTCGGGCACTATGCTTCAAAAACTGCCCAAAACCCCTAGCACAGGAGCAGGTTTTACCAAAGGTCAGTATCTGATCTCTGAAGTGGTCTAGTGTAAGAACTCTGCCGCAAAGAGACACACCCTGATACTACTTGATAAATGACCCACTCAAACCATTTCTTTCCTGTGTTTAGAAACAAGGATAGGAACAACAAAACAGACAACATATTATCTACTATTTATTGTACAAGTATGATATGTTAGGTTCTAGATATGTTATCCCACAAATACTCAAAAAAAATCTAGAAAAATAAGTGTCTTTTTTAGTTTGAAGTTGAGTCAGCTAGCTAAAGATAGCAAAGCTGGAATTCAAACACAGACTGAGCGACTCTTAAGTGCACGTGTTCACCTCCTGCCTAAGAAGTAACAAGACGGAGGTCACCAATAAGCCAAAGCTTTATACAGCTGTGGGAGGAGAATACAGGCAACAGAGTCAATGACGTGATAAACTGAATCACCAGTATAAGAGAGTCACCAGAAGAGGGAGTAAAAGACATCTGTGCTTCACTATTCAGCCACTGCAAAACTTCTGTTCTCCACAAGGTATGGATATACTTTGAAATAAACCCTGATCATCCAAGGTAACCTGGACACATCTCTGTTCTTCGCAATCCCATAAAGCCTGATATAAAAAGAAAATAAACACATGGGAAATGGTAACCAAAGACGCAAATAAAAGAAACTTTGAGGTATCATTTAATGACTACTAAAACAGTTGTGGCAGGCATAATTCTAAAAGCTGTCCTCAAGATTCCATGCCCTAACCTCCAGAACCTGTGAATGTGATAAGATGATCACTCCCATGATTTTTGTTATGCTATAGAGAGCACAGTTAGCTTTAAAGTAAGATTAGTCAGGCCATCCTAATCTAATCACATGAGCCCTATAAACACAGTTTTCTCTGGCTGGTTGCAGAAGAGGAAGTCAGATTCAGAGCTTCTCTAGCTAAACAGAGAAGCCTGCTGAGCCATGCCTCTAGCTCTGACCTACAGAATTGGGATGCTAATAAATGGGTGATGGTTAAAGCTGCTCAATTTGTAGCTGTTGCTTATGCAGCAACAGAAAACACACAGTTACAAGTGCTTAAATACTTAACACGAAATAGTGACAAAGATAAAACTGGTAAACTAGTACAACTCAATAATACAAAGACAAGTAACCTAATTGAAACATAGGCAAAGGATCTGAATAGACATCTCTCCAAGGAAGATATACACGTGATCAATAAGCACATGAAAAGACATCTGAGTCATCAAGAAAATACAAATCAAAACCACAAGATACCAGTTTACATTCACTAGGATGGCTATAATCAAAAAGACAAATAAGTGTTGATGAGGATGTGAAAAAGTTGGGAGCCCTCATACACTGCTAGTGGAAATGTAAAATGATACAGCTGCTTTGGAAAACAGTCTAGCAGTTCCTCAAATGGTTAAACAGAGTTACTATATGATTCAACAATTCTAATTCTTGTTATACACCCAAGAGAAGTTAAAGTGTCCACACAAAAACTTGCATATACATTTTCATAGCATTATTCGTAACAGTCAAAAGGTAGAAACCACCCAAATATCCATCAACTGATCAACAGAAAAATGTGGTATTATCCATAAATGCAATATTATTTGGCAATAAGAAGAAAAGAAACACTGATACATGCTACAACATGGATGAACCTTGAAAACATCATACTAAGTGAAAGAAGCCAGTCACAAAGGACCACATACGGTTCCATTTACATGAAATGTCCAAAATAGGTACATCTACAGAGACAGAAAGTAGGTTAGTGATTGCGTAGGGCTGGCTGGAATGAGGGTTTTGGGGAGTGACAGCTAAGAGGTACTTTTGGGGATAGTAAAAGTTTTTTAAAATTCACTGTAGTGATGGATGCACTACTCTGTCAATACACTAAAAGTCAATACATTGTAAACTGTATGATATATGAATTACATCTCAATAAAGCTGTTATAAAACTGGTACAGAAATCCACTGGTGGTGGTGTATAAACTTATACAACTCATGTTGGAAAAAAACACAGCAAGAAGCATTAAAAAAATCTAAACCCTTTGACCTAGCTCTTCCACTTCTAAATAATTTGTCCAAAAGAAGAAATTAACAGAAGCAAACTATATGCTAAAATAGTTCATTTTTTAAATCACAGCAAATAGTAGAAACAAGTTAAGTGATCAACTGTAAAAGAACTATGAGGCAAATGTTGGCCTATCAACAAGACAGAAAACTAAGTAGCTAAATGTTCATTAGTTCAGCTGATAATTAACGAGTGTCTTATATGTTAACAACTGGTGCTAGGATGGTAAAGAGTCAACAGAAACAAGACATCCTTATCCTAACAGAAGCCAGCAGATAATTAAACAAGAATGCTCTGGGTGTCACAGCAAGGAAATCAGGGAAGAATTTCTAGAACTAACACAGACCTACAGAATTTAGAAGGATCAAGCTAGGGCAAAAGGCGAGTAAAGAAGGAAAGAGAATAGCATTTCTGTGTGAATACTCAGACATGGACGAAAACACAAGCACTGTAAGAAATGAAGGGAGCTCAACATACAGTATGTAAGTAATAGAATATTTTAAAGGCCAAAATCCAATAGACAGGCAAGGACCAGATCATATGGGACCTTGTCAGCCTCAGTAAGGAGTTTGGATCTTACCTAAAGTATAGTGAGAAGTTTTGAAGGAAATTGGAGGGAAAAAAATCAGATGTATATGTTAGAAAGATTACTCTGGCTATACCATGGAAATCAAATTAGAGAAGAGCAAGGCTGCAAGTTAGGAAATCAGTTAAGAGGGTACTCACAAAGCCTACAGGGCTAGATTAGAGTGGACATGAAGAAAGGTAGAGTGTATTAGTTTCAGCTGCTTAACAGAATACCACAGACTGGGTGGCTTACACAATAAACATCTATTTCTCACAGTTCTGGAGGCTGGAAGTCCAAGATCGGGTGCCAGCAAGGTTGGGTTCTGGTGAGGGCCAGAACTCTTTCTGGCTTCTTGCTGTGTCTTCACATGGCAGAAAGAGAGATCAGATCACCTTTCCTATCCCTTCTTAGAAGGGCACTAATCCCATTTATGAGGATTTCTTCCTTATGGCCTAAATACCTCCCAACCCACTTTCAAACACTGGGGAGTAGGGCTTCAACATGTGAACTGGGGCAGTGGGTGAGGGGTGGAGGAGAACAACACAAACATTCAGTAAATAGCATAGAGATTCAAAGCATGTATCAGTGATGGAGTCACTAGACCTCAGTGACTAAAGGGATGTAGAAAGTAAGGGTAGAAGAAATCAAGGGTATCTGTTCGGTCCCTGACAACCAAACGAGCAGTACCATTCACTGAGACAGTAAAAAGGGAGAAGCAAAGAGATTTCAATAGGGGGAAAAGGAAGTTCATTAATCTGACGTACCAGTGAGACATTCTAGAGGCGCTAGGCCATCAGCAGCTCAACACATAGCTCTGGAGTTCCAGAAACACTAAAAGTAGGAGGTGTTAACATATAGAACATAACTGAAGCCACTGATGAAGCTGACACAGCCCAGAGTTTACAGAATAAAACAATAAAGGGCCCAGTACGGAACACAGTGAAACACCAAAATTTAAGGAATGAAAAGAGAAACTAGCAAAGGAAACACAGTAGGAACTATCAGAGAGGAAGGAGGAAAATCAAGTCACTAGTGTCAAATGGTGCTTAGAGGTCCAGTAATAGACAATTATAAGGACTATATGAAATGGGAAACATTTTTTGAAAAAAATTGAACTGAAAAACTGTTCAGTGAAGAAAAAGGCATAGAAAATTGCCCTTAATTACAACTTAGAGAAAGAAACTATCTAAATATACAAAATATGGATAGAAAAAAAATACACAAGTGTTAAATTTTAAATTAAATCCTGTGTTTATACTCTTAAATTAAAAAGTATTACAGGTGCTCTTTCTCTCCCCTTCCCAACAACTAATCCAAATGCCATTAAAGCTCAGTAAGACCAAGCAAGCTTATACTATATTATGAGCATTGATCTGTATATTTAATAAAAATAAATGAGCATGAGATGTACCAGGATAAAGAGAATAATGAGCTCAGTTTCACAGAGAAACCAGAGACCCAAAGGTTCTTGTACAGTGTGGTAAGTGCTACAAGCTATGTTGAGAGTGCTATGGAAACAGCAAGTGGGGCTTCTAAACCAGACGGGAGGAGGAAGAAACTGGAACCGCTGAACTAAATTTTGAAGGCTGGACTGGAGTTAGCCAGGTGAAGAAGTAAAAAAACATTTTTTTATAGAGGCATTCTCCAAGGTACAGTGTACTGGCCACACACACATACAAAGAACTGTTGTTACATAGGGCTCAAATAAAAGCTACACATGAGTAAAAAGCCAACAAGATTAAAGAGAGAGGTGGGGGTCAGGATACAAAGATCTTTGTACACTATGAAGTATGGACTGTACTCTCACAGGAACCTATATACGGTAGACAGTAAAATGTGACCACAGTCACATAAGGAGCTGCCAATGCCCGATCTTCTTAACTTCTATTTTATTTAGATTATCACCTTCAATGATAATCTAGAAGCGGCAGAAAAGGATAGGAAAACACTGCAATAGACCTCACCATTCCCATCACTAGACCCTCCGTGTGGGAGACATGGGAGGATAGAAAGTAATCTCCATCCAAGAGGGAATCATTTTCTAGGGGGAAGGCCAGGCTTTAGTTATGGCAAAAAGGTGGGAGATGTTCTGTAAAGAGATCAAAACAGGTTTCCCAAAGTAACACAGCAAAATGGTTGGGAGAGATGTCAACAGCTGGAGGGCAAGTCAGGAATGAAGCATCAGACTAACAAAAAGTGTAGGTTTATAACTGCTTTATAATACAAACCATTTGGAATTTAAATGCTCTCAAAGTGAATAATCTAGTAATGCTTAGTCTATACAAGAAAAGCTGGGAAGAGCATTAATAATGCTGCTCCTCCATTTGATGCACTCGGCTCTAAAACTCAACTTAGGAAAAGGACTATTTTGCAAAATGTAAGGCGATAACTTCAGCACAACCCCTCTCCCTCCACATAGCGAGACAAAAAGCAACTGTGAGATTTCCATGACTCAAAACCTACCCTGTTAGCTCAACCACAATTAGAGAAAATTCTACTTTACCTAAAGGGCCATCTCAGGCTGACCTCGCAGTGTCCTTTCCTTTTATTTTTTTAATTTATCCATTTTCTAGCACAGGTTGGACACAAATTGCCAAATAAAAAGATTAGAAAATAAGTTGAAAGTAAGTGTCTACACTAGGAATGCTACAGAATTTATGCTACTGTATTATAACAATAAAAATATTTTTATTCAATAGAGAGGAAATAATCATATGAACTCACCTTCAAGGTTAATGATCATAATTCTCCTTAATTTGATAAACACATCAATACATTTTACTAAAATATTATCTGGCAAAAGCCACACATACCTGCTGGAGAGACGTGAGGACAGCTGCTCATTTTTAGCAACTTGAGCGTATCACTGTTGTTGGCCACTAGTACTTTGAGGGATGGATCATCTACTGGGGTGTCATCTATCTTAAGGGAGGACAAGGACTTGGAGTTTACAAACACAACCGTCAGTGCAGAGATAAAGTGAGACTGAAAAACAAAAAAATTAAAACACTGTTTCAATTTTTACAAATGAGAACTGAGGGGTTTTCATATAATACACACATAGTTCATCTGAACCCTAATATATTTCACAACTGTTTTGGGGTAGCAGCCCCTCACTCTGTTGTGGGAATATGGTAAAAAAGAGAGGTGACTTCCCACCATCTTTGAGAACGACCTTTTTACGTGGGGGAAAAAAGATTTCAAACCTCAGGATGGGTGTCTCTGAATCACAACAGTCACTGGTAAGTAAAAAGAGGAACTCTGCAACCCAGAATGAGAATACCTCTCAGACACTTCACCTTATCTGGAAATCCTACTCCAGTGTATTATAACACTGAACTGCATTCTTTTTTGGTGATAGTAATGACCACTAAAATAGTTAATAACTATTAGCAAAATCATCAAAAATTAAAACAACAGTCAATCAACTTAGAAGCTATGAAAGACTTATTTGGAATATGGAAGCTCATATAAAATTTGATTCTAAAATAATAAAAATCATAACTAAAAAAAATTCCAAACTTAAAACTCCTTTAGGGACTTCCCTGGTGGTCCAGTGGCTAAGACTATGTGCTCCCAATGCAGGGGGCCCAGGTTTGATCCCGGGTCAGGGAACTAGATCCCACATGCCACAACTAAGAGTTTGCATGTCGCAACTAAAGATCCTGTGTGCCGCAGCTAAGGGCTGGAGCAGCCAAATAAATAAATATTAAAAAAAAAAAAAACTCCTTTAAATTTGCTAAATTATCTACAATTATCTACATATATAATATTCTGTTGGACACAGAATCTGACCTAAAGACCACTGTAGGAAACAGGAATTAAAGCACAAAGTACGGGTCTCTGGATCAGAGCTAATAAGCCATAACCAATGGACTCACTACAGCAGTGAAAGGGAGGGATGAGGGCAGGCTAGTAGCCAAGAAAGTACAACGAAACATTATCTTCTTGGTCACATTCCCTAAATTACTTTTTTCCTACTGTGATTAAATAACTACTTAAATTTTGATTAAGTATCTGTTTAACAACTTAAATGTTAACATCTTTCTCCTAATATTTCCATATTAAATTCAACTATATCTGTATTAGTATATGCATGACTCCATCACTGACTTCTTTTTCCCATTTCCCTCAGAGTTAGCTCTGGTCAAATACAGTTGTTTCACGTTCTCTTCAGTTCTCCCAGGATTTCCAAGATATAGCAATATAGGCTTTCAATATTCTACGAAAGCCATAATAAGAAAAGAAAGAAAAACAGCATAAACATCCTAGGCCCATTTAATAAGGAAGGAAGAGTCCCAGATGCACCCATAGTTCCCAAAACCAAAATGACTGCATGTAAGTATAATACTAGTACTAGATATGCATAATGATCATCCTGAGTAATAAAAAGAGAAGGAAGTTATGTTCAACATACCTTTTACTATGGTATCTTTTACATACGGTATGTGTACTTGTATTTTAACTACAATATGTACACAGAAAAATCAATTCAAAATAATTCATTTCCCATATGAAGCTGGAACAAGGCACTACTATACCACATAACTCAGTGCTTCTTAGAGGGCCATGAACCATCTTAATCAGAACCACCTGGACTGCTCTTAGGAAAAGGAAATTTGGAAGGATACCCAAAACTTAGAAGTTCCTCAGATGATTCTTATGCATATTAAGTTTGAGAACCACAGTGATTGAACTCCTATACTTAGAACCTTAAAATGTTGACATCAACAGACTCTTGCTGATTTCCCTCATGTTACACATGAGGAAAACAATTTATCTCAAATGTACATATTTAATGAACATTTTAAAAAATTAAGACTTTGAAATCAACTGGTGATACATTTGTTACTGATATTCCATTGAACAGCCTGGGTTATAATATAAATTCAATTTAGTAATACAGACGTACCTCGGAGATAGTGCAGGAATTGGTTCCAGACTACCACAATAAAGCGACTGTTACAATAAAGCTAGTCACACAAGTTTTCTAGTTTCCCAGTTCATATAAAAGTAATGTTTACACTACACTGTAGTCTATTAAGTATGCAATAGCATTATATTTAAAAACACAATGTATATACATTAAAAAATACTTTATTGCTAAAATATGCTAATCATCACCTGAGGCTTCAGCAAGCTGTCACCTTTTTGCAATAGTAACGCCAAAGATCACTGATCACAGATCACCATAACAAGTAAAACAATAATGAAAAAGGCTGAAATACTGCAAGAATTACCAAAATGTGACAGAGACATGAAGTGAGCAAATGCTGTTGGAAAAATGGTGCCAAGTGACTTGCCTGACACCCCACAAACCTTCAATTTGTAAAAAATGCATTATTTGTGAAGTGCTGCAATAAAGTGAAGTGCAATAAAAGGAGGTATATTTCTTTCTGAATCATCCTAGTAAATTAAACGATTAGGTGTTTAAAGGGGTGTCTATATTTTAGTTTGTGGCGTATTCTGATAAAATCTTACAGATTACTGCTGGATACTAACCTAACTGAACATGAGCTAACATACACAGGGATTTCATCAGCTGCCTTTCTAATAATGCACACTTCTTATTTTTCTATTTTAAGAGAATAGTTATTAGAGAAAGAGACTATCTTGAATTACATGCAGGATCATGTCAGAACATATATATGAATATAAAATTTATATAAATATAAATTTCACCAAAAAAAAAGTTTTCTTTAAGTAAAGTCTGTAAATTAATCTAAGCTGTACTTATACTAACTCTGCTCAAGAACAAATCTTTACACACTTACCAGAAGACTTTCTAAGCGAGCTCTACCTGCTCTTAATACTGGCACTGTCTACTTTTCTTTGATTATAATCTCACCAATCTGCTCTGAAAGTCCAAAATGGAGCATCTGTATGTCTCTTTTTTTCTAATACGCTTATTTCTCAGTTTTACTTAGTCTCTTTCAGTGCTTCCTATGGAATACTCTGCAAATTCACTCACTCTTTAACATTACCCATAAAGAAACACAAAGTTTTTAAAAAAGGAAAAGTGCTCTAAAAAAAAATCTTAATACTTAACATTCTAAATAGTAACTGGTTTTCCATTTTACATAGCACTTTTCTTACATTCTCATTATCAGTACAAGAAATGGGTAGGATTTCTCAGTAAAAGCTAATAAAACAAAACCAGCAGATACCTTTGGTAAATCCATAAAGCTTGGCCGAGCAGTTGAAATAAGTCCAAGTGTTTTTAAAGAGCAATTCACAAGTTGTGATAATATATCACAAGCTGCTTCAGCTGATTCTTTGCTGCTGTCCACCTGGGAGAAGAAAACATCCTTTACACATGAGTATGGTCGCATTTCTCCGTGCATATTTTAACTTTACAAAAGCAAGAAATACAGTTATTAGTTCACTGCATTATAATTTAAAGAATTAATATTTATCCTTTCAATCATCTACCCTCACATACAATGTCAAGCTTCTCTGAATCTCCCTGAAAAATTGTAAGGGCAACTGTCAAGACTTAACTTTCACTATGATAAAATATCTATTTAATGTTAAAAAGACATGGCTTTTAAGTTGACTTACTGCAAACAGACTATATAACCTAATGGAAATATGAACTTACAATCTTTGAAAAATAATTATATATTTGGCAGTGGATCAGATCATACATGTAAATACAGTGGCTATGGTACAAATGCTTCAAAACAAACTGAATGAGTATTTACTCAGAAGGTTCCAGTGAATCACAACCTGGGATTTACCATTAATGTTATTAATTGAAAGATGAATGTGAAGTGAAATGAGGGTGTCCAACTAGTCAAGCATGAAAATCTGAACCAAACGAGAAGTGGCTGCTCCCATGCACTCTTTTGCATAGACATTTCCTGGGGGAAGGGAAATATGGCCCAAAAACTCCTTAAGGAGGAAATATGGCCCCAAAACTGGCCCAAAAATATGGGGGAAGGGAAATATGGCCCAAAAACTCCTTAAGCTCCTTAAGAAGGAGCTCTTCTATCAAAAAGGAAGCTGTTCCCTGGGCTAAAAAGCATCTTAGAGTAGTTAAAAGTAATATTCCTTTAATTTCCAGATTGACGTAAATTACCTTAACCCAAAAATGTCCTGAAGAGCTCGTTGTAAAACTGATAAACCAATTTACATTACACAGTTTCAGAACTATTTTCAATCCCACCCTTTGGCTACGTTTCTGTACACCAGCGGTTCTTTTGAGAACTGCTCTGGTTCTGGACCAGCAGCATCAGCTGGGGACTTGGTAGAAATGCACATTCTCACGCCCAATCCAGACTATCCGAATCAGTAACGGAGCGCTGGAACCCAGCAATCTTTGTCTTAGTGAGCACTCCAGGCATTTCTGATGCACATAAAATCTGAGAACCATTGTTCTACATTAATAACTCTGACTATAAGACTCTGGCCTACGGTCAGTGAAGAATTAAACACAAATAGTATCAGGAGAGCTCAGAAGAATCCTGGGATGTGGCTCTTTCTACAAATCAGAAATTTCCTCAGAAAAATAATCCCTAATAAAAATGTTTAAGCTTATAGGACAAATGGTTTTGTGAAGGTTACACATGTTGGATACAGCTGAACTGTGTCACAGGTTAACACTGACCCAGCCAATCCACTGGATGGAACTGGTCTTTAGACCTAGGAGATTAATGTATTATACTCATCTTTTTATAGGATTTACCATTATAACACTTTTAGACAACTCAAAGATGACTGAAACCGAGGGGAAGGCTCTTCAGGTTTCCTCATGGGCAGGCGGAGAGGGACAACACATAAGGAGTTCCTGGATTTTTGTTTGTTCTATCCTCCCACTATTCCCCCACCCTTGTCCTCAGTTAGGTTGCAACATAACATCCAGGACATCCAATTAAATAAGTATTAAGTATGTCCCAAATAATGCCAGGGATACTTACACTAAAAATTATCCACTGATTATCTGAAATTCAAATTTAACTAGGCATCCCCTATTTTTATTTGCTAAATCTAGCAATCCTACACTTGGTGGCCTAAGTGCCTTTGTGCATTTTTCTGGAAAGACAGCCGTAATACACCCAACCATTCCCAACACCAGGTCTCTCTCCTCTTGTGACACATATGGAAGAATAAACAGGTAATCCCCATTTTAAAAGGAATGACAGGGCTTCACTGGTGGCGCAGTGGTTGAGAGTCCGCCTGCCATTGCAGGGGACACGGGTTCGTGCCCCGGTCCGGGAAGATCCCACATGCCGCGGAGCGGCTGGGCCCGTGAGCCACGGCCACTGAGCCTGCGCTCCGCAACGGGAGAGGCCACAGCAGTGAGAGGCCCGCGTACCGCAGAAAAATAAATAAATAAATAAATAAAGGAATGACAGTCTTGGAAGCAGACAAGACTTTAGTTTTGGCAAGGGATCTCTGGGTTAAGAACCATTGCTATATATGGGTTAAAGTGACCTGTTTAACAACAGCTGCATATGGCAAATCAGGTATTCATGTGTTACTTTTCAACAATAATTATCAGGTGTATTAAGGATTTAGTGAACATACTCACATTTCATTATTCAACCCCAAAACAAAACACTACAAGCCTCTGTATTCATACAAACCACTATGATTCCTTAAACTATTCTGGACATCTCAAAAAGCCACCCCTCTTCATTTATCTCATCACTACCTAATTTCCAGTATGTCCCTGCTGGCAATGAAAAGAAACAAACAGTTCTCTCTGGCATTCTTCCATGTACCTTTTTCTATTTCTCTCTAAAATATACTCATCCAAACCTTTTACACAGAGTTTCTGTATCTCTTTTTTCTTTAAAAACTCCATATCACAAAGCCATCAATAAGCAAAACTCAGTCCTATTAAATAAAAATAACAATTAAGTTTTAGTGAAAATTTCCACATCTTTTATTTATTTTACTGTATTATTTCTTTTGGTTCAAATTTGTTCACAATAATTCAATGTGACAGCTTTGGTATATGATTATGTTTATTTAATGGTTGCTTCCACTCTTTTAAGAAATTAGTAACATTTATAATAAAATGGAATAATTTAGCTCAATATAGTTATTTATGATAGCCTCTAAGGTACACGATTACTCTAAATCTTTCAGCACTTTCCCTAAAAAGGCAATAAAGACATGAGAAGATGTATTGGTTTAGGACACAAAAGCCACTAAATATGCTTTATTTTTAAAAGAAGGATTTAAAGTATTACCTTGAAGCTGACATATTGTAGATGGTTTGAATGTCTTTTAATAATCTGTTTGATCAGCTCTGGATGTGTTGCTTTCAAATAAGATGTAGCTGGCTGATTCAGTTCAAATTCAAAACATCTCCACAAGTCAGGCATGTGAAATACCTGGTTCCAGTTGCGGCAAACTTGTGAAGCATGAGCCCGGTCAAGAAGAGGCAGATACTTAAACACTTGGAGAATAATGTCCTGAAGGAGATTACCCCAATCGCAAGTCTGAGAACGCTCATTTGTAGTCCTCAGTTTCTTGGATTTCTCTGCTGTACCTTCTTCTGATGAATTATGGTCACTATCTCTTCCTCCTCCTCGTTTCATCCTATTCAGAAAAAATGCATCTTTTTTTATACTTTTGAATAGAAATAAATCCAAAATTCATTCTTCTGTCACTGAGATGTGTACACATGTGCTTACAAATACCAACAGAAACATGCAGGAAGAACTGGATCAGGAATTCAAGGAGAAGAATGTCAAAACAAAATATAATGAAAAACGCCAGCAGAGACCAACTGTCGTTTTACAAACTTATGTCTTTGGTAGGTGCTTTTAAACATTTGTACTGTACTACCTGGGGGGAGAAGTTGATCATAATTTTGAAGCTAAACCAAGAATTTATATTTCAAAAGTTGCAGTCAACTAGAAGGAATATAAAGAGAACCTACAGTGACACTTTCTCAAGATTTCTTAAAAGTCATCTAAGGGTACCTACTATATTTGAATTCCTGAATCCCAGGAACCTCCAGAGAAGACCTGAATTAAGTAATCAACAGATATCTCCACACTGGGTAGCCTGTGATATGTGTTACTGCCAGACCCAATCTCTGCTTAAAATGAGCAAACTCATCCCCACTGTGCGTATTTGGTCTGGAATGTGGCTGCTTCTTCCAACACATCACTTGCTGTTGCAATGTTTTATCCAAGTTGTATTTTCGAATGAGAGTTAAATGTTTATTCTACCTGTTTGTACAACCTTCATTCCATTTGATTTTTTGAAAGTAGTTTTGTTGTTGTTGTGTAAAATAGTAGTACGGTTAAAGAGAATGGGTTCTGGAATCAAGCTCCCTGGTTTAATTCCTGGCTCTGCCTCTCACTGGTTAAGTGGCCTTGAACAAATTACTTGACTTGCCTGTGCTTCAGTTTGTGAAATGGGAATAACAGAAATACACAGGGTTCTTGTTAGGAATTAAACAGTTATTAGGGCTTTTGAAAGGAGATATCGATGATTGCTGAACTCAGGTATAGGAAAGCAGTCTAGTATTAAAGACATTAAAGTGCAACACAAGAAGAAACGGAGGTTACCAACCGAGGGCAAAGAATGATCCTAGATTTGTTTTAAAATGAAGTGTGTATGAGAGAGAATGAGAATGCAAGCTTATGAGAAACATACACTGGAAGTAGATTACCACATTAATATAGTAACTATAATAGTGGGATTATATAATAATAGTGGGACAATAATAGTGGTGGGATTACAGGTGATTTTTTTTTTTGCCAGTATGCTTCCCTATATTTTACACGTTTCTTTTAATGTCAGTGAATTAAACTGCAATCAGATAAAAGGTCTCGTTTTGATTTGGAAAAATAAATATTGCAGGCTCTAACTAAATGGGGGTAACTGCAGACCACTCACTGGTATCCCTATTTAGTTTAGAGCCTGCAATACTTTTGTCTCTAGAGAGCAGTTCTGGCAGGGTATGGTTTGGATTTAGAGTCACAACTTTTTCACAAAGGATGGCTTGTAGCTCTAGCTCCCTTCTTCTGGCACATCAGTATGTAAGAATTCTGACTCCTGTGTGGGACAAATGTACACAAGCATGGCTCTTAACCAACTATGTCTCTGCAGACTCTCTCTCTAGTAGCTAGCTAAAATTGTGAAGGAGGATTAGGGGCTGGAGGAAAATGGCAGAGGACCCTGGCTTTCATGCCATTAAAATCAGCCCAGGAGGTCTTAGTACATGTGCAGTAAACCACCTATTCCTCATTACTCCTACTTCCAACTCTAAGTAAATTAAATTATGTATATAATATTGTGCAGGGGGAGAGGAAGGGAGAAAACAGAATGACAGAGGTGATAGCAAGAGGGTAGTTTTATAGAAGACTAAAACTTACATCTGAATCTAAGAATACATTTTTAAAATGTGTTTAGAGACAAGGCAGTATAATCTACAATGTCATATTTAATATTAAAAAAAAGTCTCTCCTAGGAATAATTCTCACTAGAGGTTGAGATAACAGTGTCATTATGACCCATTTTTCTGCTTTAACTTATCCTGAAAGCTTACTTTAGTTTTAGCATATAAAATCTGGGTCAAAGAACAAAGAGTTTGCTACTCAGGGCTTATAATTTCTCTTCTGACTACCTAAAACTACTCAGAATTTTGAGAAACAGATTAAAAACATAATGAAGTTATCTTTCTAATTTCTACTCCTTATTAAAGAATGCCGATCTATTTCTGGATAAAAGTCTTCTAAAACCAGAACTATTCAACTTAAAGACAGAATGATTCGGGCTTCCCTGGTGGCGCAGTGGTTGAGAGTCCGCCTGCCGATGCATGGACACGGGTTTGTGCCCAGGTCCAGGAGGATCCCACATGCCGCACAGCGGCTGGGCCCTTGAGCCATGGCCGCTGAGTCTGCGCATCCGGAGCCTGTGCTCCGCAATGGGAGAGGCCACAACAGTGAGAGGCCCGTGTACCGCAAAAATAAAAAAAAGACAGAATGATTCATTTTACTTTAAAGTATATGGCCATATAAACAAAAATGACAGCCTTTTTTACACAATTATCTTTGCTGATCCTAACAAATACCTTCTTTTGTCTGTTGCAGTCTTGTTTTAAATAAAGTATATTTCAATACCTTTCCAAACTGAAGGGAGAAAAAAGTTGACATATTAAAAAGAAGTATGCAACACTGAGGAAAAGTATCTCTTGGTCTAGATATATAACACTATATGATCACCAAAGTATATTTTAAGCACTTACTAGTCTATGACTAGCTGAACTAGTCTGTAAATTGTCATATATGACTGTAATATGTCAGAATTACAGTATTAAGCAACAGAAAAATAGTAAGACCAAATGCCAATATAAATGTCTCTGTATTATCCTCATGTATGCATAAAAATGTGAGCTCATAGTGGGCACCTAAGAAAAAATTTTAATGTCTAATTTTTTTCCACGATGATCTCATTTATTCATGCAAAAATTTACATTGCTTTCAAAAGTATTTTATTAAATCTATTTACACATGAAGCTCTGTTATACAGAAAGTTAAACAATTTTGAGCATCCACCAGTCTGCAAAGAATTTACTTCAATGGATTATCTTATCTCCTACTTTTAGTCAAAGTGAAAATACCTCTCACACCTGAACAGGGGTGCAGAGGAGAAGCTGGATGATCAACATCAGATTTTGTACAGCACCCGAACTAGGCCTCTTCATGCCTCCGGCAGTTCAGTTCAAACTCTAACTTTTCCAGGCCCCAAATAATCGATGCAACTTAGGCCCCTAAAAGCATCTGGTGAGGGACTTATACTGCTACGAAGCATCAAAAAGCAAACTAATGAGGAAAGACTCCAGCCTCGCTGAGCAGCACAGGGAATTATGCAATTTACTCTTCACATTTGCATACACTCTGAAAGAAGCAGTCCACTAGAACATCAGTTGAAGAGCAGCAGAAGAAAACACTTAGCCGCGTGCCCCTCGTTGTATTTTTAGTACATTGCACTGGTAGTAATTTTAAAAGCCCAGTTGCAGTTAGCTCTAAAAAGCCTGTTTTGGGCAACACATTTCCTTTCCATTTATGTTCTTCTTTGACTAATATCACAATTAATATGCATTCTTTGGCTGGAACACAAGACTAAAACAGCGCAAAGAGCTTAACTCAGGACTAGATGGTATCAGAGAGTGTGGTGGTGCGATCATTTGTAGATACTAGAAGTTGATGGCGTGTTTATAAAGATTTCAGGAGTAGAAGGAAGACGACTCTAATTAAAAGATCTGGGCCGTTCCATTGGACATGATCAGCAACAAAATAGCTCATCTCTTAGCCTGGAGATACAGGCCAATCATTTAACAGGCTGTTTTCCCGACCCCTGCACGCAACCCCATCTGAAAGGGGTGCTCTTGCTCAAAGCAGGCGCGAAGCTGCTCATCACAAGTTGACCAACTTTTCCACGTGGCTACGAGCGGCCCGGGCGTCCCCTCCTCCCGCGCCACCTCCACGGATTGGCTTTCCCTGACATTTCTGCTGCGCCCTACCCCGGGCAGTCTGTTTTGACATCTTAATGCCCCTCATTTCTCAAGCTACAAGCACGGCCTTAGCCGACGCCGGGAAGAGCCAGACAGAGCGCAAGCTCAACGTTGTCGGTCACCAGCCCCCGCCGAGGGTTAACAAAGTCGGGCGACAGGCTCGGAGGTGTCGCGGGGAGACTGCTGCAGGCCGCCGCCGCGCACGCACCACGCCTTGTTGACTTGTTTTGAAGCAGGCTCTGCGGGGAAATGCCCCGGGGCAGGGTCCGCTGTCCGGCCGCCGCGCCGCGCCCCGCCCCGCGCTCCCAAGGAGCGGCGCGAGCGCACCCGGGGCCCCGCGCCCCCCGGCCCGCCCAGCCGCCCGCCCACGTCGACGACCCTCCCTGGCCCCGCCTACGCCCCGGGGCTCGGGCCCTCGGCAGTTACCTGCTGCCGGGGGCGGCTTCCCCCACACTCCACCCCGGGCTCCGCGGGCGGCTTTGCTCGCGGCTCTCACATGAGGCCCCGCGCCTTGCGCTCCCGCCGCCGCGGCGCCCCGCGCTCCACCCGCATCCGAAGCGCTGGTCCCGGGGCGGGCGCCAACGCGGCTCCGCCTTTGCGGCTCTGGCTGCACAGGGAGAAGCCGCCCTTCTCAGTCCCGCGGCGTCCGCGTCCTTCTCCCAGGTCTCTCGTCGTCGCGCGAGAGACGCCTTCAGCTAGCCGCAGCCACCGTGTAGGTCCTCTACGCCGCGGGCCAGACACTGAAGCCAAAATGGCGCCCGCGCTCGCGGCCGCCCGCTTCCCCCGGCGCGTCTCCGCTGAGGGGGGCGGGCGCGTCTCCGCCGCGGCGCGTCCGCGGAGGGCGAGGCGGGGGGCGGGAGGAGGCCGCGCCCATGCGGGAGCGCGCGCCGCCCCGCGCGGCCGCGGGCCTCAGTCACCTGGTTCAGGCTGGAGTGTCTGCCGCTTTCCTCCCGGATACGTGACTGCGGCTTTTCGGGGTTTTTCGTCTTGAAACCGAAGGTGGGAGGGCTGGAGCCAGCTAGATGCCTAAGAGACTCTCTGCGGTGGAAACTGGAAGTTTAGGGAGGTGGAGCAGCGAGAAGAAAGAAGGGCGAGTCTCTGGAGCCGGCTGTAACCCAGCAACTGGCTCGGGCCGAAGGATAAACAGTAGCTGCTGCAGCGGACACATCTCCGCGCGCGAGGCGGGAACTCCGATGGCCACACCTGCGCCGCGTAACCCGAGGGGGTAAAATACAGCTTGTAATAATACACACCATATAGACCATGACAGGTATAGCATAATAATATTCATCATGTATGCATAAGGTGTCTTTTAAAACTGCGGGGAATTAAAGCCGAATGGTGACAGTGTCAACTCTGGGATTACAGGTGATTTTTTAAAAATCGCCTTTATGAAGTAGACTCCTGAAATTTGTAAGTTGCTTTCTGAAACACAATGAGGAAAGTGTAAGGGAGTAGATGGCTATTTAAAAGAAAACTCTGGTGAAGCCTTTTGTAAGTGGAGGCATCTTTTTAACTGCTACCTGGTTAGCTTGTTTTAAACGTTTGGATTTTGGGGATGCTGGGTTTTCTTAAAGTTAGAACTGTCCTTAGGTGCAAAATCATAACTTGAATCATGCACCTTCCCTCCCTCAAAAATAAAAAGAAAGTAATTTTTCATCCAAACATAGATGTCTTTTCAAGGATCTGACCCATGTGTAAGAGACTAGAAGGCAGTGAAGCCCAGGCAGCCCTCCACAAAACTGAGCTAGGAAGCCATGTGCAAGATGACAGCAAGATTCAACGCGGGAAGATGCCACTGTTCTTCATTAGGGCCTGGCTCTCTGATCATCAGGTCACAAGGAACAAAGTCTCTAGCAACATAATAATGTGTACCTGCACTGCAACATTTTTTAGGTTCCTCCGTGACTGGCTGCTGAAGGACAATAGGAAGACAGGCTGTGATAATTATAAGAGGAAGAAAAAACAAGTCAAATACAAGCCCATTTATTGAAAGCTAGGTTAACAGAATAAATGATCAGCAAAACACATTAAACCAAATCAGCAAACATAACTAGTATATATTACATCACATTAAAATTTTCACACTCTAATTGTAGTCCCCTTTTAATTCCTCATTACAGTCTATCCTCTCTCTAAAGAAGGCAAGCATGGGATCTTAGCACACCTTGCCTATCTAACGCTTCCTTTTCTTTCCTGTTTTTGTTATTGAAAGATTTTATTTTACATTTTTGAAAAAAGCATCGTGTGCTTATTTTAAAATCATTCAATACCTATTTAAGTTTACCACTTGTGTTAGTCAATATCAGTCTGGAGGGAAGGGAGAGGGTGGCGGTGGAGTAGTGTGGTCCAACAGCGAAGAATATTTTGTTACCAACCCTGTTGGACAGGGTTGCCAGAATTGCCAGTGCAGAGATTAAGAAAATTTTTCTTGTATGATAGTGAAAATACCATATATATCAGTATTTGTGAAAAACATCTATGCTAACTCTTAGAGTGAAATTCGTAATTTTAAATAGTTACTCAGAAACAAGTACAATTCAACAAAAGCCAAATATTTAACTCAATAAATCACAAGAAAAAGCAACAGAAAAAATCCAAAGCATCAAGGATAGTATAATGTTGTTTACAAGATGGCTACCACCTATTCTTCCCTTGTGTGTGGTCAAATGCTGCTTCTCACATTAAGAGATGAAGTCCAGGGAATTCCCTGGCGGTCCGGTGGTTAGGACTCTGCGGTTACACTGCAGAGGGTGTGGGTTCGATCCCTGGTTAGGGAACTAAGATCCTGCAAGCCACATGGCACGGCCAAAAAAAAAAAAAAAAAGGAGAGATGAAGTCCAGTTCCCTTGCCCTTGAACCTGGGCTTGCCCTGGTGATTTGTTTCACCAGTAGCATGAGGCAGAAGTGACATTTTAAAACTTCTGAGGCTAGGTCTTAAGAAACCTTACAGCTTTGATTTGGGTCTCTTGGGATGCTTACTCTTCAGACAGTGTGCCAGAAGAACCAGTCACCATACCAGAAGAAAACAAAGCATCACAGTGCAATGCTCAGTGAACTCCAAGAGACAATAATAAATACCCGTTTCAGTCCAGTAAGGCGTTAAGTGGTTTGTCATGCAGTAGTAGATAACTGGAAGAGAATTAAATAATAAAGACAAGGACAGGAATCAACAAAATAGGGAAAAAAATAGAGAAGATTATCAAAAACAAAAGCTGGTTCAAATAAAAGTGAATAAAGTAGATACAACTCTAGTCAGATTGATTAGGAAAAAGAGTTGCAAATTAACAAAGTACAAAAATTTTTTGAAGGGGGAACAAATATAGCCACCGTAGGTATTTAAAACAATAAAAGTATGTTGTAAATAATTATTAGCTAATAAAATTGAAAGCCTAGATAAAACAAGTAAAGTCCTAGAAAAATACAAAATGCCAAAATTGGCAGGAAGAAGTAGAGAATTTGAATAGATCAATAAACATTGATGTAATTGGCAAAGCCCTTTCCTCCCAAATAACCCTAGACCCGGAGGGAGTTATAACTGAGCCCTACCAGACTCCCAAGTAAGTTAATCCTTTCTTCTACAAGTTGTTTGAGAAAAAGGTTGAAGAAGAAAAGCTGCCCAGGTCATTTTATGAAGCTAGTATAATCATCGCTCCCAAACCAAATATGGAAAAGAAAGGAAAACCGAAGCCCCATTTCTCTTCTGAAAATAGGTGCAAAAATTCAAAAAGAAATATTAGGTAATCAAATTCAACAATGTACTACCAAAACCAAAAAATAAAACCAGGACAAAACAGTGACAATAACACTCCGGAGCCCCCTTGACCTCTTTTTCCTTTATCACAGCACGTTATCACCTCCTAGCATATTACATATTGTATGTCTGTTATGTAATGTCCCAACTCGGATATAATAAGCACCATGAAAACATGAGTCTTAGTTGGGTTTGTTTGCAGATCCTAGGCTCCCGGAACAGTTCCTGGCTCGGTAAGTGTTTCTCTGAAGCGTGAAAGAACATGACAGGATGGGGCTTCTGTTTGTATTACATGGTGTAGTGTCCCGGATTTGAGCCATGTTGCAACTAAAATAAATCCGTCGTGGGGAGTAGATGGGCAGATAGATGTTGCGGGAGAGGGAGAATCCTAAAAGGTAAATGGGGATAAGCAAGTTTGATTATGGACCAGAGGCTCCAAATCGTACAAGGAACCCTGTGCTTTTGTGATTCACCAGTGTCACAAGTCCCACAAGGAACGGGGAGCCCCCTCACAGAAAACAGGAAATCTGTTAATAGAACAGGAGAAAGGAACTCTATCGTGGTCCTCCTTTCTCCTCCACTGTCTACATGGTGCTTGGTGTAACAGAGGAGGAAAGGGACAAGGTCTGTGTCCTTCTATAGCTGTCTAAAGGGATAACATCCACCAATGAAACAGAAAACACTTGTACAGCGATGTATTAATAAGTTCCTAATCAGGTAGTATACAAGAGTGCTGAGGGCACGAGATGCAGAGTAGAATAGGGATAGATGGGCGGAGCTCATTCGTTGATCAAGGTCAGTTTTGAATCGAATCTCGAAGAAAATAATGGAATTAAAGAGAAGAGAGGCAGGCAGTCTATCCAACTGGCAAGGGAAGCACAAGGCCAGGATTTGGTAAGATGATAGAATCATAATTAGAAGGTCATTGTGTTCAACTACTGCCCAAGACTGAAATCTGTAGTGAACACTTAGTTGTCGCCTAGTAGCTCTTTTGGGGAGAAGCCCCTCCCCATCTGCTTGGTTTTAGTAGTGGTTTCCTGTAGCACGTGAACCTAGGCCCCATCCATAGTTGATTGGTCCAGAAATGGACACGTCATTCAAGTTAAGACAGTCCTCCCCGCTGGGAATTTGGAATTAATACGGAAGGAAAGAGAGTATTCCCTTCCTTGGGTGTTTGGACTGGGAACATACAGACACAGGGGTTATAGGTGGTCACTTTCTACCACATGGCCTGGAAAGCAGAGAGGCGTGGTCTGCAGTGAGAAGGAAGGAGAGCAAGATGGATGCAGAGAGAGGACCTAGAGGAGAGACGAAACCACAGCCCGAGCGCTGGTCCTAACCTGTTCTCAAGACCCGGCGGTATCCCAGCGATTGCCTTTTTTCTGGCTTGCTGAAGTTACTCTGCATTTGCTTTCTTTTGCTTGCAACCAAAACTCCTTACCAGTGCGAACTTGACCTGGAAAGTCTCCTCCTTAGTTCTTCAATGTTTCCTTTTAACTGAAGGGCGATCATGGAATTTGTTCCCGCTGTGTCCTGTGTCTGGGAGTGAGGCTAGGGGTGGCATCTCTCCATAGCTGCCGTTAACCAAGCATGAGTCTGCCGAGTAACACAGGGGTGGCGGCTGGGGGTACGCTTCTCTCGGATGGAGTTCTAGGAAGATGAGTGGGCCTGATGACTGCCTCTTTTTGCAGGATTTCCTGCCTTCCATGTGGGCAGCTCAGACACAGATCTTGTATGAGAAAGATGCATGGAGTTCTCTTCTGAGGTCAGGTAGCTCTCCGAGGAGCAGTTGAGCTGGGGAGGGACAGAACCTTTAGCATTAACGTAGTCATCCCTTTGAATCACACAAGGGAAGGGCCTTGTAGATGTATGGTTTTATAAGGAGGATGCTCACAGTTTCTTTCCCACTCTTTGACCTCTTTTTCTCCTTCCCCAATTCCTCTCCTTTCTCTGAAGCTCTTTCCTTTCAGGTCCCCCAGTTTGGCGTTTCCCCACAAGAGGAGGAACTTGCATCTCCTCAGGCCTTTCTGGGGTCCTGCAAACTTGAGAGCTGTAAGTCTCCACTGCTCAGTCGAAGCTGCTCCAGAGTGGGATGGAGAAGGTCTGGCACCTGGGTCGGGGGCTCAGGTTTTGATCCTTGTTCTGCCTTTACTGGATATGCAAGCATGGACAAGTTACTGCATTTCTTTGTGCTTCAGTTTCCTCATCTGTAAAATGGAATAATAATAATGTTATTATTTTATATCTACCACAGAGTTGCCATTAGAATTGAATGAGTTAACGGTACGTGAAGCACGTACGTCAGTCGCAGGCACATAGTCAACGCCCAGTGAGTGTTAGCTACGTTGCTCTTATTATCACCACTCCAACTCCGCATATGAGGACACTCACGCCTCTGTGGCGTCTTACCTCAGCAACCCCACTTCTCTCCTCTGAGTTACGCCAGCATACCTCTCCCTCTCAGGCATATTAGCCCAATGAAACTACTTCATTTTAGGCTGTCTCTTGGAATTTTA